GGGCGGATAATATCGACCCAAGTTTGATTAAATTCATCGCGCCAGGTGGGGCGTTTGTAGCTCAGTGGTCAGGGCGTTGGCTTCCGGTAAAGGCCCTCTCTACTACGCGGGTTCAAATCTCGCCGAACGCCTCGAGATTTTTCACAGTTGGGTCAACTCAATTTAAATAGGTCTGCCAAAGCTCCTAATAATGAATTCTTTATTACCAAAATCTCAGGCTTTTGGCTATTTTTGCAGGTCTTCAGATTTGAGTAGTCGAACTGCAGAGATCTGTTGAAATCCACATGTCCAATATGCCGATATGTGGAACAGTTGACGCAAAAAATCCCCAGTGTAATCCACATTTTCAAAAGTTAAGAAAAGGAGGTCTTTTTTGAAAATAGGCATCACAAAAATATAATTTGATCGAAAGGATTCTTTGGGAAACAGGAACAAACTTTATTGTAAATTTTCGACGCTGACACACCAGGTCGTCTTCGGACGTGAGGGAAATGTGTGAAGAGCAGTGCGCATTTTTAAACGTGCCAAAAATCGATAATGATTCGTCGTCCATGGTCAATAGCATGTTTTGGTGGTTGGCGCTTTTTCCAGGCTTTTTTGAGATCGGTATGCATTGAATCCAAATCAACGTGCCTGTTAATGCATGATTCGTCAGAATTAATGGCCTCCAAAAATTCTCGGACTTTCTTATATGGGCAGGAACCTTCTATACCGGTTTGGTCACATGCAAACTTGTGCCCACATTTAACCGAATGCATGGCAACTTCGGACAGCTGGTCGCACCTCTTTATCGCTAATTGATGTTCATGTATGCGTGTAGTGGTGGACCTTTCTGTTTGTCCGCAATAAATTGCATCGCAGTCGCCGCAAGGAATTTTATAAACGATCTCGTTTCTGTTCAAATAACCAACCTTATCCTTTGGGTGTACAAGCAGATTTTGAAGTGTGGTGGTTGGTTTTTGCGTCACTTGGATCTGTTACTTCTTCAGGTGTCTTTCAACTAGTTCAGACACGTTTTTGATATATGGAAGTGTTCGCCAACTTCTTGGATTAGGCGCTTGATCGGAACAATCTAGGTTATTTTCTTTTTGT